CGGGCTTAACCTCAGAGCTCTTGAGGGGTAAGAGATGGAACAACACATGAGGGTCGCTCGTCAGCTTCCCTAGGGCATCATCGAGGGGCAAATTGCCCGACGAATCTCTCCGAAGTGACTTCACCTGTTCCGACATGCGTACCCAACCAGCCCTGTCGGTTCTGAGCACCTGTTCAATCGTTGGGCGTGACCAGCCCGGGCCCTGCGTGATGTGCGAATGGATAGAGAGAGGTTGGATGCAACTTGCGGCATACCGCGAAGTGCTGCATGTCCCCCCTCGATGCATTTGGATCGCTGCTCCATCAGTGTATCTCAATTTTGCATGGTTCAGGTGTCATTGCAACTGCAGAGCTTGGTGCACGCTTAGTTTGGTGCGGTAGACTTCTGCAGATTCTGGCAATGGCGACCCTTCTGAAGAGTGAGGCTGCGTTCGATGAGCGAGCTCGTGAGTGTGGGCTACCGGATGAGGAGCTGGAGCGGCTGAAGACTGCGGGGATCAAGACGATCTCGCTCCTAGCTTTCTCGACCAGTGCTCCAGGTGTTCAGCCTTCTGAGGAGCAACTGAGGTCCCTTCTCCGACCGCTGGCACCTGAGTCGGTGAGTGTTGGAGTTGTGGCAGCAATCCGACACTTGATGTTTGAATGTCAGACGCTTTGCTTGGCTCACGTCAAAGCTTCAGTTGAGGGAAATGAAAAAAGGATCGAATTGGCACCAGCTGAGAGGACAACTCGGATACTCCAGCAGAAGGCCAAAATGAAGGGTCTTACCTTGGTTGGGCAGCTCGAGTGCTCGTATGCTTCTTACGACTATGTGGGGGCGATGATCGAGAAGGATAGCCCTATGTACTTGGAACCGCACCGGTTCGACACGAGAGCAGCTGAGGTGGCGCGTGAGCGCCCTGGCAAAGAGCTCATTTTGGACCACAGCCGCATTTCTGTGCGTGACAAGGCAGATAAATACAAGTGCGCGATACAAGATCCATTGGCACTGTCGCAAGCCCTGCAGCGACGGGCCCTTGCTTCCGATCTCATGGGGGCATGCACTTACGAGGCGATGCATGCCTGGCACTCCTTTCTTTTAAGAGCAACTTGCCCATGCAGCGATTTTTGCACTCCTGTAAGCCGAGGACGATCTCGTTTAGCCCAGGGGGCATGGCAAAATGTTTGCGACGAGTGGCAGGTCAAGCCTCACGGTGAGCGCTCGGGCTGCCCGCACAGGAGTGCTGGTCACGCCCATGTTGCTCTGAAGGCTGCCACACTCGCCAGGTTTAGAAATGAGTGCTCCTGCCATGCCGGGAAAGCATCCCAGGCGACAAAGAGGCACCAAGCAGTCCCTTTGCAGGACCTCGAGGTCACACCTTGGTTCATTGCATCACCGAGCTGCCTGTGCCCAAGAGCACTGGTCACGCTGTGGATACACCAAGGCTGCCATGAGCAACTTAAGAAGATCCCTCCACCCGGGCCTTTTTAGTGGCCACTTCAAGGGCGTGGTTAAGGGCCCCCAGATCCCGCAGTGACCTGCCTCTGTAGCACTGCTTGCACTCAAGGGAGGCAATGCTCACACTTCCACAAACCGGTTTAAAAATTGCCTGATTCCACTCGCGGCCACACACAAAGCGACCCGATGAGGCTCCGGCGGGAAGCAGATGCACAGTCCTGGTAGTTTTATGCCTGTACATGAGGCACTCATTGAGCTTTCTATGCTCAAGTTCGCCAGCCCTCTCCCCAGAAGCTTGAACTCTCTCATCAATCAACCGACTCAGAAGTAGATGACTCACTGCTGGAAGAGCTTTCACTCCCACCAGGCTCTGCATCACAACCCTCAGCACCGATTTCCAGGTCCGGATCGTCCTCCTGCTGCTGCGCCTGCTCCTCTGCTGCTGCCTCAGCATACCAATCCCGCTCTCCCAGCCAGTCAGCATCAGCCTCGCCTTCTGGATCCTGACCAGCCTGATCCAGGAAACCAGGCATCGGAAAAGGAGTCAAGGAGTCATCAAGCTGAGGAGGCGGTGACGGCGGGAAAGCAAACACAGGCTCAGGACCACCTTCAGCAGGAGTGGGAACTGCACTAGACATGTCTCTGGTACTGAACAGAACACCGTCCAAATGAGGATCGGAATCGGCAGGCTCCTCAGGTGCAAAACGTCCGGACCTCGTGGAGTCAGGAAGGAAAACCCCTCGGCGCACATCGCCTATGAGAGCCTCAAACTTTCGGACCGGAGCTGCCTGCGTGTCCCGTGCATAGGTCAGGGCACTGCTGCGTCCAACCAGCACGTGGTGTCCAAGGAGGGTTTGCGTATCAAAGTCTGTTCCGGCTTTGCCCATCCACGACAACGGCGTGGCCTTTGCTGAATGCCCTGAAATCTTATCCCCGCTGTATGCCGGCACCGTTGACAGAAGATCCTGCACCCAAGCGGCAAAGCGATCAGTGTCAGCAGGTACATTGGAGAAGTTCCCATGAGCATCTGGCATATACAGTAAAGGCTCTCCCGAAGCAATGCTGGTGAGGTCACGACCCAGCTCCCTCGCAACCGAGATGAAGTCTTTGCCCCAACACCTCGGGCCGATGCCTTTGGCAGGCACCACAATGTGCATGCGCATACCCTGGCTGTTGCTGGTACTGCGGCACTTATGCGAAAGAGACAAAACCTCGAGGTAGCCACAACCGCTAGCACTGTCCTCAAGAAGGTCAGTTATGAAGCAGTCAAGAACCCTAAGATCACCAAGCCTGGCCCGGCCATACAATGCAAAGAGGAAGGCTCCAGCGCAAAACCGATCGATGAGTGGGCGGCACTCATCCGCAAGTAGAGCTTCCAAAGCAAGAACTTCACTGGCAAGCAAGGCTCTCGCCTGCTTCTTTGCAGGTCGTTCCAAGCGAGCCTTCCTAAGGATCCCCTGCACGATTGGATTGCTACAAGCGTTCAGCTCCATGTCAACTCCAAGCACGTGATGCAAGAAAGCAAAACACTCAACTGCACCAGTAAGCACCGAATGCCTGCCGCTCGAGCTAACAAGATGTCGGAGAAACTCCTCAGCAATCTGCCCATCAATGGGGAAGGCCTTCACCGACTCCAACTCAGCCCAGGAGACTAGCTTGGCAGACTGGCCATACCTCTTCTGCAGTGTGCGAGGCGCCTTGCCTCCGAGTGCCAGCCTAACCTTGGTGCGCCGTTCTTCCAAGGTTGCTCCTCGAAAGCTGCGCCCCCAAATCGAGGCTTCATAAGAGTGTGCAAGGATTAGCTCGAACCTTTGAACATGAAGCTCGAAAATGTCTTCATCACAAAGTCTGACTTTCCTGGCCATCACTGTGACGGCATGCTTCAAGAAAACCACTTCTGAAGAAGAACTGCGAAACCTTGCAACACTGGATCTCCCACATGTTGTTTCCCGTTAATAACTCCCTCTACAGGGAGGCGAAGCTGGCTCCTGCCAGAAGAAGCTTCGCCACCACTACGATGTAAACGAAACGGATACTTGGATTCGGAATTGTCAGAAGCACCCCGCCCCTTAACTGCCGTCAGGTGTCCTTTCGGAGGGATATCGCAAACAGATGCCTTGATGTTGTTGGGGATCCATTCCTTGGCAAACAGTCATCTTGCAGGAATCTGGGGGAGAGCATTTGCAGATAGAGAGCAAGAGCACATCGCTTTTGTTCCCCACTCGGGCTGGGACGTATGACATGCGTCCTAGCACTCAGAAGAATGAAGGGCCAGCCAAGACTCCACGAAGTAGGAGGAATTCTTGTTTTGGACATTCAACATTTGCTCATCTACCTGGCCAAAGCAAGAATTCAATCCCTTTGGTGATTCGGAGAGCAGCCGTTTAGGGTTAGGGTTTAGGGTATCTGATTCAGCTTGGGGTAAAACCTACATCGTACGGGCTTGATTAGCAGTCTATGCCTGTTCTACAGGTTCTACAGGGTTTTGCGGTTGGGATTGAGGATTCAGGCTTTGAACTTGTCGGGTGGAGGGTTGAAGGGCCAAGGCTTAGGGCTTATGGTTCAGGCTTACCTTGCTCGTAGTCGGGCTGTTTTCTCCGCAGGGCTCGGCAGACTCTGTACGTTGAAGCTGTGCATCAATGAGAAATCCATGAACCCTAGGCTAGATCCCAAAGTTCTGGGACTTTGAACCACAACAAACTTGAGGCCCTAGGCACCAAAAACCGAAATCCTAACTGTTCTCAAAGATGACAGGCTGCAGGGCTTGCATCTGACGAACGGTCAGACGTCAGGAGGACGGCGAAGCTTTCGGTAGACGTTAGGCATATTACACTGGCTCGATGTTCGGGGTCAGTGCGAAATCTGTCCTGAGATTCTATCCTGACACTCGAAGCATGGATGCCATCCAACGCCACGCAGCATAAAGAACTCGAGCAGTTACGTGACAACCAGCCGTCAGCAGTCAAGTGGCATGACCTTCTCATAGGAACCAGGCCTTTAAACCATGAAGGACTGAAGCCTAGTTACTAGTTGCCCTCGGGCAACTAGTAACTAGCAACAAGAACTGGGGCTAGAAATTTAGTTCGCTGCCAAACCTTGACGGCTTTACACGCAGGCTGTTCAGTGCACTTTGGCACTTGCACTACTCGCATCTTTCAGTAGGCCTTTATGCAACGGGCCGCGTTCACGAGGTTAGCCGCCACCAGTTCTGGCGACATGTTGTTATCCAGATTGTCCCAAAAGTCCTTGAAGGACTCCTCGATCTTCGAGGTGTTGGTGGGCGCGACAGGAGCACTTCTGACGAACGCAAGGTCTTGCGAGATTCCCATTGCTGCAAAGAGCTTGACTGCTGCCAGTTCTGGTGGCAGGCTGGAGTCGATGTGTGCAAAGAAGTCCTCACCTTCCCAACCATCGGTTTCGCATGAGCTGTCTTCTTCTGACGGCGCTTCTGCATGTGTGGTTTCCTGGGCTCTTGTTAAGGAATTTAATTTAAGTTACCATGATAAGGATCTATAGCAAAGACTACAGTTTCCCCTTATTATGGTACGTTATATTACATCCATTCACAAGAACCAAGCTTCGGAGTTGCTGACAGGTTCCTCTGCCATGAGACAGGCCAGAGCAGCGGCATCTTCGGGTGACAGTTCAGTGTCAAGTCGCCTGGTCTGCGAGGTTTCAATGAGCGTTGGGCAGACCAACGGTGCCTCTGCTTGCACGGGTTGCTTTGTTGTCATCATACTTGCTGCAGATTTGGCTGCTTCAAGCGGGCGTTCCTCTCCTGCCATCGATGCCATGGCTACAACATCCCCGGCGGGGGACGTGTGGGCATCCATCGGCTTCTTCCCAGCCTCCATGCGTCGCTCTGGGCTGCTCGCAGGTCCCTCCGATTTCATGGAGGCCAGAGCCGCAGCATCTTCTGGTGACATCCGGGGAGGGTCCAGTAGCTTTCTCTGTGATGTTGCAATCAGCATGGCCAAAAACGGGTCGGGCTTCTCCGGCTCCTCCTCTTGGGGAGTCTAATCTAAGTTACCATAAGAGGGATCTATAGTAAATAATTAATATTGAGTTCCTTATTACGGCTACTTGACTTAAAAAACCCAGCCTCTTCCACCGGTGGCCCTTGAGAAGCCGCTCGCTTCTCCAAGGCTTCCTGGATCACGGGCGCCGGCTCTTGAGCAACAGCCGCCGGTTGCCCCGCTTGCCCAAAGAGCTCTCGTAGAGCATGTCGGTCCTGGGCTTTAAGTACCCAGAGAACCCAATACCCCTTCATTAGAATATACCTTAAATCATAATATGAATCCCCTTATAACTTAAGGTATATTCCTTGATTAAGGGGTATTGGACTCTCTGGGTAACCAGGGAGAAAACGTACAGACTTTTATTTCATAATCTTCCCATCTAAGTACCCGGGTCCCAAAAGTATTAAAATACGGTACTTCGAAGCCCAGGGGTCTTGTATCTCCTGCTCGGGAGTCTTCTGTGCAGTTCGTTCGCGAAGCTGCCTCTGCTGCTGCAGCCTGATCATCGTATCTCGCTTGATATTCATCTTGAAAGCCTTGGAGAGCTTGTTCCGCACGTAGCTCCGCAGCTTCCAGACAAAGACCTCGTTCTCCAAAAATCTCGTAAGGCCTTCCTCACCTTCCGCCTTGAGGGTCTTGATCATATACCGGAGGTCGGGATCCCATTTGATGCCAAACCGCAGGGATTTGCTCGGCCTTAGTTGCTGAGTTCATAAGCCCCAAACAGTGTACACCTTCAGTTTTATAGTGGGTAATATCATCCAAAAAAGTGTAGAGTGCATCTACTCAGCTACTAAGCGGCGGCTGCAGCTCTATCCTGAACCTCGGTTCCTGCTCCTGCGCGGCCTCCTCTAAAGCATCTCTCCTCGCTCGCGCAATGATCGCAACGCGATCAAACAGAGCCTTCAACAACAGGTTGTGAGTGTGATTATTGCGGTTTAGGGTTTAGGGTTGCTACAAGGGAGTTTCCGAAAATTAGGGTCTCTTATTATTTTGGGGTCTTTATATAAAGGATCCTACATTTAGGGTACTAAAATGGGGTCCCCTAGAGCCTTCAACAACAGGTACGACAGGATCAGCACGAGGAGCACCAGCTGCAAAGCGATGGAGAAAAGAGCCATGTCATGGCAAAGCGCGGGCAAAAGCACCACGTCTTTCGTGGTGGCCCGGTCTGTGAAGAAGTACAACTCGAGCATTCTCACCGCAGCTGATGGCTGCAGCGAGAGACTTTGGCTTGAGCCACGATTCTTTTGGAGAATCTTTCAAATTTCTGAGGTCCTGGAATAGTCATAACACTTGTACCTAATACCGGTGTAATAACTATGGTAACGATAGTAGTAGCAACAGTGGCAATAATAGTAGCGATAGTCATAACAGCAACAGCAGTAGCAGTGGCAGCAGAGGCAGTAGCAGCAGCAGCAGCAGCAGCAGGAGCAGGAGCAGGAGCAGGAGCAGGAGGGGTGGTTCTGCTTTCGGGAAATGGAGATTGCTTTACACATATTGCTGCTAGCTGCGGCTGTTCTTTATGTTGCTGTTGGCATCGCCGCTGGTGTTGGTATTGATATTGGAAGGGCGAACTTTTTCTGTCGCTATTACCACTCCAGTTACAGTGGACAAGACTAATGCAGTACCAGTGCCGGCACCGTCACCGTTTATGTATGTATGCACGTAAGATGTAGCTACACTTACTAAGTGCTATGACTTATACTTATACCCTACTTTTATCCAACTCAAAACCCCAAATTCACTCTTTGAGGCGCTACACGGAACCGAAGTTTCAGAAAAAACACGTTGCCTGAGGCTGATAAAAGCTGACAGGGCATTAAGCCGAACCCCAACACCGTCCGGATGCAGATTTCCGACACATCAGCCAGATTACCAGGCTTTCGTGCAGGCCTCCTTCGTGGACATGCGCCCACGGAAAAGGGCTGCAGCCGTGAGGTAACGGCCGTGGCGTGGGTCCGCGGCGCACATCCTGGGGCATGTGAAAGATGATGGGCTCAAGCTGTTTGTGCGGCTGAGTTCGGGAACGCTACAGAACTTTTGGCGAGTTTTATGTGGGCCGAAAGCCACAACTAGCTCTCGGCAAATCACAAGCCGATGATGTGCCGGCTTGAACTTCAATCATGCACAGAACGAGATCGAAAGGCTCTGAGTTTTTAGAGTTCAGGGTGGCGGCATTCCAGGACGCAGATTCTATTGTGCTGCGGTTATCAAAACGGTGTCTATGTCAAACTTGTGGACTCATTTCTCAATCTCATGGCCGAGATCGGAAACATGTTTGAACCCATAACCCCAAAACCCACGCCACAAAGCTTCCGGCATTCAACCTTGTTTCTTGAACCTTCAGCCCTCGACCTCCGTCACTAGCCTTTACGACCCGAAACCCTAAATCTAGACCCGTGTAACAACCCTTATGGTTCTAACCCCGAAAACCCTGACCCAACCCATACCAGCCTTTATATGAATGACCACTAACACCACTCGTAAACCCCTCCAGCAGCCCTTCTAATACGAACCCATAAGCCAAAAACCCTCGATCCTACAGACGTATACCAGCAAATGTGACACTAACCTTAGACCCCAGGCCCCTGAATCCTCAACCTTTATAACAACCCGTATGATACTGAGCCCCGACACCCTAAATCGCACGGCCTAAACCCTCTGACAAGCTTTAAACTACTAACCCCCAAGACCTCAAACCCGTATAGCAACCCCTGTGAGACTAATCTGTAAAGCCAGCCTTGTGCCCTGATAGCAGCCGTCATGATACTAAGCCATAAGATCCAACTCCCGGGCTGAGAAACAAATTTTTAGCGTCGAACATTTGCTGGGTCAGCTTGTGTTTTAGGAAGACAAAGAAAGGCAAGAAGTCGCGTCTTCGCCCCTCCGACTGCGTCATCATCCCTTTGAACATGCGCCCACCAATGCTTGGTGCTGCTCGTCAAAGACATCCATCTTGTAGTGGAGGATCTTGCTGATCAGCATGCGGCGCCTCGTGAGAGACCTGGACCAATCCTTAGTTGCTTCCGCTGCGTCTGCCGAGCAAGAGCTGGCAGCCTCATCCGCGTACTTGTTGAAGCGACGCCAGACAGCGTCGACTGCACGACCACGACCGTGGGCCGGAACCCAAGAAACCTTGAAAGAAGGCTTTCGGCTAAGAGCACAACGAACTTCCTGCCACAAAGGAGCCGTAGCAGCCTTAGCAGCAGCGGTACACTGCGGAGCCCGCAAAACAGGAACTATCGCCTTATGATCAGTGAGGACATGAGCCCTGGGAAGCTCTGCGCGTTCTGCTGCAAGCACAGCCACAAACACAGCTGAGACCTCAGCAGCGTTTACCGTCGTTTCAAGAGAACCCAGCTGCCGCACGAAACTGCGATCTCCAGCGTCGGAACGCCAGATCACAGAAAAGACCGCGACCCGAATGTCTGGATCAGAGGGATGCTGGGCACTGCCGTCGGTGGCAATGAAAGTCTCTCCTTCGATAGCTGCGGGAGGGAAAGCCCTGAACTCCTCAAGCAAACACGAAACCCAACCCTCAAGACAGGCCATCGTCCAGTCACCTCTCCTGGGCGGAACCGGACAAGGGGCCCAACCGTTCTGAAGAAAGGCAGCCCGAAAGGCTGGAGGAACCTGGTCTTCAAGGTCTTCCAATCTGAGGCCATGCTTGTCTCTTAGAGGCTGCGTGCCTGGGCAAGTCCACATGAGATGCATGGTACTACTTCTTTCCTCGGAGCATTGCTGGGTCAGCTATTTACCTTGGACAAGTAGGGCAAGATGACAACGTCTTCACCCCACGCACATTGAAATCATCAGCGGCCACCAACAGCATCAATGAGCCGTTGCTGCAAGGGCTCAAAAACTTTTCTCTTCATCTCCAGGATCTTAGCAGCTCGCTGCCGCCTCTGCTTCAGAGCAGAAATCCATGGACGAAGGGGCGCCTGAGCATCACGCGAAGCAGCGCCAGCCGCGCGGTCAGCTTCATCATTCAAGGATCGCCATTCAGGCCGCACCCGAAGGTGCAACTGTTTGCCATGAGCCGGCACCCACGTCAGCTCAAAGGGGCACACCGTGCGCAATTCGAACGCGCCAAAGCGAAGTCTTGTCCGCTGGAAGGCTCCGAGCCAAAACGATTCTCTCATGATCTGTCAATATACGAAGTGACGTCCCCAGATTGGCGTGCTGCGCAGCGGAAGCTGCGACCACAACTGCAACGAGCTCCGCCGCATTGGCCGTATTCTCGATGTTGCCCAATGGCTTCGCCCAGCGAATGACCTCCGACTGAGATTGCCATACCACTGAGCATGCTGCCACACGCGCCTCCGGATCCGAAGGCGAAGCTGCACTGCCATCCGTCGCAATGATGATCTCACCGTCCTGAGGCTGAGGAGGATGCTCAATCGGTAGAAGGCGGACTTCTTCGATCCACTGGCGAACCGTGTGGAAAGTCCAATCGCCGTTCTTGGGAACCCACTGAGCCCACGCATTCTGCAGCCATGCGGAGCGTTGAGGTTCAGGGAGATCACCTGCGAAAATGTCTTCCTGGACTTGGAACTCGTCACGAATGTGAGCGGATTGAGCGGATGTGAGCGGTGCCGGGGCACTCATACATCGAGTGGAAAGTAGTGCCAGGATCTTTGCCACAAAGTGTGCAGGCTTTAGAACCGTCACCGTCGATGTGGCTGAGTCTCTCGTGGTTGGCCTCCCCTGCCACAACGCAACGCCAGGAAGCAGCCTTTTCTCCTGGGACGGAGTCCTCAACGAACTTACGAAGTGGGGCCACATCAATGCTTGTGACGTCGATGCAAACATGGCGCTTGGACTTGGCTCGCCTCATCACATCATTCCGCCAGCCTTGACGGAGAAGGTGACCAAGAACGGCGGCACTGACCATGCCCAACTCGAGAAGGCCCTCAGGCAACTGCACAATCCAAGGCGAGGCCGTGGTTTGCCACCCCAGACGTCCGTAGGCATCACGAAGACGATCGACCAGACCTTGGCGAAGCCCAGCAGGATGAGTCCAGGCATGCTCGATGACCGAATTTCAGCGAGAAAACTGCAAGCGCCACCCCCCCAGAAACCGCAGCGAAAGTCATCAAAGCCATAGGCTCAATATGCCAGCCTCTGTTCTGTATCGCCCAACTGGCCCCACGATGGCGCCACGCCGCGAAGCGATTCCTGGCCTGCAAAGTGAAAACGAGTTTGACGGCAAGTTTTTCAAAAGCACCGGAGTCGCAAGCAATCCAAGCGGCATCCCAACGGAAAAGGCCCATGGTCGCCGACAAGACGTTGATCAAATGCGAGGAGCCCAACTGCAAGGCCCTGGTGATTTTCGCCAGACGGTCAAGCCTGAGAGAAAGCTGAACCAATCGCTCTCGAGCTCGGGGGACAGCGATAGGAGACACCCGGCCCGCGAGATCAAAGCGGATGCCCAACAGATCAATGTAATCATCACGCGCACCTGGAAACATCTGGCCAGCTTGCGCCGACGGATTGACGATCGCCATCTCCTCCTTGGTGGGGTCCTCCGCCTGGCCACTTAAGCGGTCAAGTTCTTGAAGAAGGTTAATGACCCGCTGCATCTGTCGTACTTCGCGAGCGCAAGCAGTACGGTCGTCGACGTACGTGTACAAGCACGCCTCAGGAACCTCATGACGAATGACAGCTTTGTGAGCCGCTGCGCAAAGGGCCGCCGCCAAGGGGCTGACGGGGTCCCCTTGCGCCATAATATCTCTATCAGGAAACTGCCATTGGCCAACCGCCACGCCGGCCTTGATCACAGTAGGACGCCTTTGGCTGAGGCCGAAGAAGAACTCCGCGTGCTTCGGAAGCATCCCAAACCAGGTAGCCAACTGCTTCACAATGTCCACGTCCAATCGCGTAAAACAATTGCTGGGTCAGCTGCATACAAAGTAGGACAAGTAGGGCAAGAAGTCGAAGTCTTCGCCCCACCACGATTGCTCTAATGCGCACCACAGAAAGCCAAGAACTTCTGGTAGAGGTCTTCGAAAACGTCCATCTTGAAGTGGAGGATCCTCGCCACAAGAGCAACCGGATCAAGATGCCAGCCTTGCCGCATGACGACCCAAGACGAAGCACCCCTCATGCCCGACGGGCCCTTCCAGACCATTTGACGAGTAACGACCTCATTGCCGTGAAACCTGCGAGCTTGAGAGGAAGGGATGGCAGCCGC